TCCAGAGTCGGAAAGGCATCCCTGATATCTCCAAAGACATGCTCCGACCGACCCATCAAAAGATTCTGGCAGGCCCGTGATAAGTCACACGCAGACACGAACTGCAGAGTCGATCTCTTGGCGACCGCCCGCGTGGTGAACTTACACAGAAGAAGTTCTTGGAAGGCCTTGTGCACACGCTCGACCGCCTGCTCAGCACATCCAACACCTGAGAAATGTGTACTGACACGGATTGGGCCAGCCAGCATGGAACCTGGTCAGGGTGCTCAGAAACTGATAACGATTATTATTACTATTGCTCTGATAATGATAACTTATTAGCATTATGACGATTGCAAGAATAATTAATAAACGGTTCTTAATCGATGGGTTTCACAACAGCCATGCCTTGAAGTTGCTTGACCGACAAAATACGACTTAAAGCAATCATCGTGATCTCAGGCCACTGCTTGGCACCTGCCATGCCGCTGCCAAAATTTGCGACCGGCGTCGCATTTGCCTGGTCCACGTCAATATCTGGCATATCTGACGCCGGAAGAGACTCCGACCCACTCTCATCCGGCGACCAGCTCTTCAAGCTTTCGCTGCCTGAACATATCTGGAGGTCGACCGACATGGACTCAGACTCCGAAAGGAGCTCCATCTGCTCCATGTCTAAAGTCTAGTCTCAAGTGAAGTTCTCATGTATATTATAGGTATGATGATACGCTGATGCTGCCGTGCAATGGCTTTGTTCAGTCCCAAGGCTTGTTGCTCCCTGACACGACCACGGCTGCAAGAAACTCTCTAAGTGATGTGTAGTCGATGATGCTATAAGAGCTGAAGCACAGCTGGCAAGTCAGACAGACAGAGTCAAGCAGAAGGCCATGCCATCGTGACAGCATCGCCTTGTGATCGACCGACAAAGGGCTTACACATCGCCTCGTTGTCTTTCTTTCAGTGGCAGCGACCAGCACGGCAACCACGGCCTGGGCCACATGAGCTCTGATTCTTTGTCATTGTACGAGCTAATCACAGGACGGTCAGGTTACTAAAGAAGGTCTGAGCTTCCAACATGCCACCAGCTGGAGATGCAAAGCAACTCGGATCCACGATCGCCCGGCAGTGCCGGACAGTCGTGGGCCAGGGTTGCTTCGGATCTTCATCTTATGGCATTGACCGGCCTGCTTGACTGAAGATAACATGTGAGAGAAATCAGGAGGAGTGCAGCAAACAAACAGCTGGGGGTCCGACGAGACCACTGAAGCACCTAGTGCCCAACCTGAAGAACCACTTTGCTGACAGCAAAATGGTTCTGCAGCTTGGGCACCATGATGGCCTGGTGCTTTGCAAAAGACATGATCACCAACCGAGCTAGTGCTTCATATGCAACACACGGCCCAGTCCTTTGTGCAGCAGTGACCGGCGATCCAGTCATGGCCTGGGTGACGTGACTCACTCGAAAAGTGACCGAGCTAGATCTTGGTACACAAATGCAGTGTTCACAACATCGTCGGCATTTTTTCTCAGCAGCGACCAGCTCACTTCCAAAGCTTAGCCCGACTGGCTTGGTACTTCTTGCCATCCTCTGATTCCAGCCACTCTTTCAAGTAGTCTCTCATAACAGAGGAGGCGACCGACTTCTGCTGAGCGTGCAGGACCTGCACTGAGGTTGGCAGCAGTTGCACTTTCCTTGGCTCTCTGGTCCTTCCAGTCAACTTGAATACTGTAGAGTTGTATTTTTTTAACAATTAAGTTGATTCCTTACATTTGATTAGTACATGTCATGATTGAGTCAAATAATAAACTAATACTATGTGCAGGCTGATGACCCGCCAACGACCGCCTTCTGCACAGCTTGCTGGAGAACATCAGGAAGATCACACGGCAATGACGAAGAATGTTGCTGCTGAATGTTCCTCAAGACGACCGACAATCCACCATCGATGTCTTGTGGGAGCAGTGGATCCAGCAGTTCTGCCATGTCCTGACGGCTGTGCCCAGAAAGCTCTTCAAACGACCGTCCAGACAGACGCACAGCATTGTTCTTCTGGCGGATCTGCTCAGTGGGTCCTCCTCCTCGGGCTCGTTTGCGGACCGACATGATCGACCGGCAGACTGCAGCTTTGAGGATTTCATCGCGGTCCGAGCCCAGCATGTGCAGCCCACCTTGGGCCTCAGACAGGCAATTTCAGGCTCGTGTTTTTCTCTGTCTAATCAAAAATACATTGAATAATTGATGAATCAACACTAGAACTAAACAAATACTTTACTATGTGTTTCCAGAGATCCAAGAGCAGGCGATCGACCGCCTGTGCCGGGGTAAGACCAGCACAGGCATCGTACTGGTAATTCATTATGGAACCCAGGCGCTCGATGGCAGCTTCAGGTGCTGCCAGCAGCCGAGTACGATGATGCAAGCGACCGACATGCCAGCACTTTGGGTCTGTTCTGCATCGACCAACTGTAAACCAAGGATGTGCTTCCAAGGATCTAGCGATTGCCACAGAATCAACCGAGACCTTCATTTCGGTCACAACCACCAAGCGCTTAGCCAAGATACCAGACTTCCTCAGACCGACAATAGATATGGACGCATATATATTGTCAGCAAAGGAAGTCTGGGATCTTGGCTAGGCTGAATCTGAAATGCAGACCGGTGGCAGCACCGCCACGAGTCCCTTTGTGGGAACTATGACCGCCCCTGTCTTTCTGCGTTTCCGTCTGTTTACAGTGAGACTTCCGACCTGCGCGAGTCCTCAGAACTATGATAAGGGAAACACAAACCAAATGCTGTTGCATTCCATTTCCAACAATCATGCAGAACACTCCACTCCAACCTGTATTAATTGATCATGTCTTTACTAATAAATAATTACTGTTCAAGAACACCAGTTAGCATATGCGTTTTTTTGGGAGTGCAGTTAGCATATGATGCTGTTTGGAATCCCGGATGAAATTAGACAAAAAAAAACCTTGCAGTTAGCATATAGAGGGGTCCAAAATATGCTATCTTCTCGTGTGGGGACACGAAAAGCACCAGCATACCGAGGCGAAATGCAGTTAGCATGTCAAGAAAACTGCAGTTAGCATATGCCATCCTGGATGCAAAGATGGGCATCCGAAATGGCAAAAACTGCAGGGAATATCAATAAAACCAGTGCAGTTAGCATATTCGTGCCTCCTTAAAACATAACAAGGAACCTTAAAAGGTAGGCAGCGGAACAAACCTACAGTAACCTTTTTAAGGAACCATATCAAAGAAAGATACTAAGGAACCTTAAAGCCGACGGAATGACCTTATATGACACATATACGGTACTGTATGACATGGTATGACACACAAAGACACAACAGTAAACAACATTATTATTGTACTGTACTGTAATCCGCTCTGTGTTTGATGTTATGGGCATTCAACTTAAAAAAAAAACACTCCATCGTTTTATTGTACAGTACAGTAAAGTCGACAAGAATCGAACTGCAGTAAACACCTGCTGTACTTGGTTTAGGGTTCACTGTACAGTACAGTAGGGCTTACTGTACAGTACTGTACTGTACAGTGGGCCCATTGAAAGCTTGTTTCAGTAACCTACCTCTATGCCGTACAGTACTGGGAGAATAGCCGTGCTGTTATGTGTTGTTGTGGTTCCCCTGCAGCACCATCCACTCCTACAGTACAGTCCAATACATTACTGTACAATACAGTACTCGGTGACCCCATGGCCAGCAGCATATGCTAACTGCAGTCCGCCTGCCCATTTCTGCCACACAAATGTACAACAAAGAAACCCTGCGCTAAAGTCATGTTCCCCGACCGGCCTGCCTTCGACTCCCGCCGCTCCTACAGGAACCCTCAAAACTTCCCGGATGAAACCCCAAAGCCCCAAGCCCTAAACCCTGTCAGGCGCGATGCACAGTAGGCGGGTGGCAGACCACCATCGAGGCCTCGGCTCAGGATCGCACGCGACGCTGACAAAAAGGAATCCACAACCACTTGCAGAATCAAAGCGGAATGACCTTACTGTATATGACACATATATGGTACTGTATGACATGGTATGACACACAAAGACACAACAGTAAACAACATTATTACTGTACTGTACTGTAATCCGCTCTGTGTTTGATGTTATGGGCATTCAACTTAAAAAAAAAACACTCCATCGTTTTATTGTACAGTACAGTAAAGTCGACAAGAATCGAACTGCAGTAAACACCTGCTGTACTTGGTTTAGGGTTCACTGTACAGTACAGTAGGGCTTACTGTACAGTACTGTACTGTACAGTGGGCCCATTGAAAGCTTGTTTCAGTAACCTACCTCTATGCCGTACAGTACTGGGAGAATAGCCGTGCTGTTATGTGTTGTTGTGGTTCCCCTGCAGCACCATCCACTCCTACAGTACAGTCCAATACATTACTGTACAATACAGTACTCGGTGACCCCATGGCCAGCAGCATATGCTAACTGCAGTCCGCCTGCTCATTTCTGCCATACAAATGTACAACAAAGAAACCCTGCGCTAAAGTCATGTTCCCCGACCGGCCTGCCTTCGACTCCCGCCGCTCCTACAGGAACCCTCAAAACTTCCCGGATGAAACCCCAAAGCCCCAAGCCCTAAACCCTGTCAGGCGCGATGCACAGTAGGCGGGTGGCAGACCACCATCGAGGCCTCGGCTCAGGATCGCACGCGACGCTGACAAAAAGGAATCCACGAACCACTTGCAGAATCAAAGCACTCTGCATTTTTTTTTGCCGTCTTCCCCCCTTGGCAAGAACTGTACTGCATGTGGCAGGCTGCCAGCTGCGTTTGCACGACTACTGTACTGAAAAGAATGTGATCATCAGCTAGTCTGTGCTGTGCTGTACTGTGCTGTGCAGTACTGTACAGTAATGTACTGTAATAAAGTACTTGCGTACAGTACAGTATTGTATACAGTACTGTATCGTGTTGTGCTGTGCTGCACAGTGCTCTGCTACACTCACTTGCAGAAAATTACTGTACTGTAGAGTACAGGCTCAGTCGTCGTGCGCAGGCTCTTCTGCCCGCAGCTTTCTGATTCTGCTCAGCTGGGATTTTGCGTGCTTGTCGGATGGGTGCGACGCGCAATAATCTTGCAACATCAGCTCCATCACGCGCAAAAGTGCCTGCCACGAATTCCGGGATTTCACACCATTGTAGCTGCGCGAGTAGTGGGGGCAGCCCTCCGCCTGCGACCGCCAGCATCGCCCGTCCAAGTGGATGGAGAGGATGCAGCCATCCGGACGGGTGTGCAAGTTCAGGTCACGCAGCCTGAGGTATTCGGGCTGCGTTCGCAGCGCCAGGACATGCGGGCAATGCTGCTTGGATTTCGCCGCCTCCGGCGTGTCTTCAGCCTCGTCAGACTCGCTGTCTGGCAAGTCGCCCCACCCTTCTTCCTCAGCGGCCGCATGAACGTCAGGGTCCACCCACTCTGACTCGCCCTCCATGACGAGCTCATCAGCTTCACTGGCCGTGCCATCCCCACCCTCTTCCTCGCCCTCCTGATCACCTTCGTGCTGGTGCAGCATATCGCCTGGCACGATCGTCGATGTTGCAGCACTGCAGAGCACAGCACAGTACAGTATGTTGTGTCCAATCTACAGAACTGCACTGCAGCCTACAGTACTCTACCGTTGGATGGGCGGGAAACCCCAAACATATGCTAACTGCGGTTTTTGAACAACTTTCATCCTCCGTAATCTGCAGTTTCAGACAGAGCACCCCGCTCCCAAAAAACGGCCCACCAAACGTCGAAGCACAATACTGTACTGTACGGTACAGTACAGTACTGTGAGTTTTGTATATGACAGTAGAGTACGTACAGTACTGTACTGTACTGTAATGTTCTGTACTGTACTGAACGAGCCGCTCGCCTGAGAAATGGTCCACTTGCTCGGGCACCACGCTGGTGCTGGAGACTTTGGAAGCGGGGATCTCAAGCAGCTTCAGCTTATACAGCTGCCCGTTTCCTGCTGTGAGCCTAAGCTCCTCGGCATGGCGGGACAAATGCAGGATGACGAGGAGACACTCTTTCTTTAGTCTTGAGAGCGTCTCCTTCCCTGGGTTGGCAACCAAGCGCCCTGTCCGCTTGTTAAACACCAGGGGGCGCTGTGTCTGGCCAACCCAGGCGTCATACTTCAGCTGCTGCTGGGCGGTCAGGTCCCTGCCAGCCTGGCGCCGCTGCTCTAGTTTCTTGTCCCACTGCATGGCTTGTTCCATCCAGCCGCACAAGACGTGCTGCAGTGGGACACGGAACCAGGAAGGCAGAGGGATCACTTCGGAGTCCGCGTTGAGCTGGATGCACCACACGCTGCTGACCTCCCCCGGCAGCGGCTCACCTGCCTCCTGGATGGCCTGGCTCTCCTTCTCGAGCGAGATTTCCTTGGTGAGTTCCATGTTGATGATCTCACTGAGTTCGCCTGGAGCGGACTTAATGGCATTCTGAGCCTTCTCCAGGTTCCCGCCAAAGCGAGCATCAGCAAACTGCTGCTTGGTGACCAGCCCCCGACTGACCCATGCCCACGCCAGGATTTTGCCACTGCGGTAATTTTGGATCTGCTGGAGGGCGAACGCGTCAGCTCGTAAGCTGTTCTGGATCGTCAGCCTGGGCACAGTACACTCAAAGGATCTCAAAAGCACTGTACTGTACTGTACTCACTGCGCTGTATCTTTACAGTACGTATTGGCTACTGTACAATACTGTACAGTAACTACAGCACCTTGTGGTAGAGCAAGCGACACTGCACTGTACAGTACAGTGTACAGTACAGAACAACAATACAGTACTGCAGAATACTGTACTGTACAGTATTGCGTGCAGAGGGCTCAAACCTGGGGTTGCCGTCCACGGAAAGCTCGGTTGTGTGCAGCACTCGCCGCAAGGCTGCGATGTCTGCTGAACCCGATGCGACCCTCATCCAACTCCGCCGAATGGAGTGGAAAAACTGATGCCACGCGTCGTTGGGGGCTCCAGCTGCGCCCCAGCCCCCAGGAATGTGCAGCCCGTCGCCATCTTCGTCCTTGCCGTGGATCAAGATTGCATTTGCCTGCCGGCGCAATGCAGCACTGTACAGTATATTCTAACTGCAATCAAATCCATCAAGAAGTACTGTATACCGGACTATACAGTACAGTACTACAGTACAGTACAGTATGTACTGCATGCGTAGACACCGTACTGATCAGGGTGGCGTTTACTGTACTGTGCTGTAGTGGGTGTGGACTGGTATTTGTGGCAGATTCACATGCTTTTCACATGGTGTGGCTTGCTATTCATAGACACCGTCGGGGTTGCGTTTACTGTACTGTAGTGGGTGCGGATTGGTATTTGTGGTAGATTCCCATGCGGATTGTACCACACACTGGATCCGTACTTTACAGTACAGTACCGTACTTACTGTGCAGCACACTACTGTACAGTACTGCGCTGCAACAGCCGCCTCCTTCTCGAAGGTCTTGCGAATCTTGGCGAACCGTGCGGTGGAGTGCACGGACGCTGCGTCGCAGAGCACCAGGGCCTTGTGTGTGGCATCCAGCTGGAGGGACTGCCTCTTGCGGCGGATTTCCGTTTTCAGAAACTCGAGGTAGTGCGACATTGTCTCAGCTGCCCACATGTGAGAGTGGGAGTCGTGATTGCTGGAAATGTGCATCATACCACCGAGTTCTGCATTCATTTCGGAAATCACGCGCGCAGTGAGCATCTTGGGCGATGCTGTGACATATGCACGTCCCATTGTGCCATCAGCCCATGTGAGGGTGGTGGTGGTGCGAGCGCAGCGGTTATTATCCACGGGGATGAGCGTGGAGCCAGCATTCAAGGCTGCTCTGTCCCCGGGTGGAGGGTTTGTGGCTGCTTCAGATGGCAGGCCCAGTGTGGCACGCAGGCTCTGCAGCATTTTGGCCTGCGTGGGGGTGCTGGGCTTGCCAGGGATCATCCCCTGCAGCGCAGCATCTTTGAACAGCACCCTCTTCGGACCTTCGTAGTGGGTGCACCACACCTGGTCGAAGTTGCACGTCCTCAGGTCACAGCGGCGGCTACTGTACAGTACAGGAGAATTACAGTACTGTACAGTATTACTTACTGTACATACAGTATTGCCTACAGTACAGCACAGTGCAGTTCTTACATCACAGACGAGAGGGAGAGGAGAGGAGAGGAGAGCAAAGGGCGAGGAGAGGGTATTGTGCTGTACTATACTGTCCTACTGTTCAAGACCCTGTGCGGTACTGCACTGTAGAGTGCACTTACTGTACAGTAGCATACGCCGGCAGGCACGCTGTTGCCAACAGGATGATGCCGCACCACAGTAAATTCTTTATTGCACTGTACTGTACAGTACTGTACTGTACTGTGTATGCAGCACAGTACTGTACAAGTTGCAGCTCTTGAAGCAGCCCAGATTCAGCTCCGGTCGGATGTTGTGGCGAGTCCGCAAGAACTCCACGCCCTGGCGAACCCTCTCCATAGATGGGTGGTCATATGGAAGGTGGCGGCCTGTGGTGTTCTTGCCCACAGCGTGTGCCTTGAGGCCCAAGCTCGTGCAAACCTTCCGCACGTGCCTCCTGATCCAGGGAAAGACAAAGAACACACGCGCGTTGCCCAACACAGAACATTACAGTGCAGCACAGTACAGTACTTACAGTACTGTATGGTGATTGCCTGAAGGTCTCGTGCTTCTGCGTTAGCACGATTGGGCGGAGCTGCTGCAGAGCCTGTTCGAAGTCCAGCTCTGACGCCTGACAGGACAGCTTTCAGTACGTTGTGTAATGTACAGCACGCAGTCTCAAGAACGGACAAAGCAGCAATGTACTGGGGAATAGCTGTGCTGTTATGTGCTGTTGTGGTTCCCCTGCAGCACCATCCACTCCTACAGTACAGTCCAACACATTACAGTACTGTACAATACAGTGCTCGGTGACCCCATGGCCAACAGCATATGCTAACTGCAGTCCGCCTGCCCATTTCTGCCACACAAACGTACAACAAAAAAAACGCTGCGCTGCAGCTCGGGCCTGAGCAACTGCTTTCACGTCCTTGGCACTCGCGCCGGATGCCAGCTGGGAGTCTGCCTGCGCGAGCTTCATCTCCCCGACACTCTTGGCAAAGCCCTCCACCTGCTCATTCCACAGCTCTACCAGCGAGCTGCAAACGCTGCTGGCATATGCCAGAGTAACTTCCTCACCTGCGATAACGTGGTCCATCAATAGCTTTTCCAGCGCAACACCCAATGCAAAAGGAATTTGGTGAAGGCCCTTCGATGTGCTGAACTTGCTGTTCGTGTGCTTCTTGACCAATCCAAGCATCCCTCGCACCGAGTTCGGCACCTCGCTGCAAAGCTTGGACATTTCGGGTGCGCATTTCACGAATGCCCTCCACTGGAAGTGGAGGGCAGATTTGGACCATCGGCCGAAGCATCCTTGGAAAGCAGCGGTCCTGCGCTTTTTAAGCATGTACTGCTCTGGCGACTTGATCTTTGGGTCTTTCTTGGCCTCCTCCCATTCCTGAGCTGCACGGCATCACGTTGATTGCACTCCACACAATACTGTACATACAGTACTGCACTGTACCGTGAGGGTGGGACTATACTGTAAAGTACTGTACTGTACAGAATACTGTACTGCAAGGCTGAGTTTCGTCTAGCAGCGCGACCTTGCGGAAGATATCCAAGCATGCATTCTTGCCCTTGCGCTCTATGTTCGCGCTCCTGCGGGTGTACAGCCTGCGCTCTTTCTTCATCTTCCGAAGCTCTTGCACGGAAGGGGCGTACATGACCACCCTTTTCTCTGTGTCCTTGGCGGGCTTGTCGCGACCTGTGGCGGGCCGGTCGCATGCGGAGCTGGCCGAATCGCGTGATGTCTTGTGCTTCAACCTGGTTCCTGAACCAACGGGCGCAGCATCTGTCTTGGACAGCCGCTGCCGCTTTGCTGCAGGTTCTTTGTCCACGATGGCTGCGGAGTCCGCCTGCCTGGAGGAGGACGAGGCCTCTGTCGTCTGCCGCTTTGCAGATGGCTCCTGCGCAAGTGCTTGTTCGACAGCGTTCCATATCTCACTTGCACGTCTTTTAGGCTGTGGCTTTGCAGCTGGCTGCTGCACAAGCGCATCTTCCACAGCGCTCGGTACGGCGCTCGCACTCTGCTCTTGCCGTGGCTGCTCTCGGAATTGCACCCAGAGTTCATCCTGCTCTTTGCTCGGCAAGGCGTTCCAATCACTCTTGTGAGTCTTGTACTTGCCCCACATGTTCTTCAGCTGCTCGGTTGTCTGATCATGCGTGACTGGCGGGGCCCATAAGCCTGTCGGTGGCTTGTAGTACTCCACGGCGGGTTTCACCCGATACTGCTTCCAGTCGAACTCAGTTCCAATGGACTTTGTCCTGTGCTCAGCACTTAAGTTCTTCCAGCCTTGCGCGTGCACCAGGGCAGCCATCACCTGCACAGTACAGTATGCTTTGAATGAAAGACCGCTGCTGTGCAACACTGTACTCAGTACTGTACAGTACTGTACACCGTATGCTGTATGCATGCCAACTGCGGTTCCGCACTGTGTACATTACTGTACTGTACTATACGGTACTGTATATAGTACACGAAGATACATTCCACGGCACTGTCCGCCTACAGTGCAGTACAGTACTGTACAGTACTGTACTGTAAGTACAGTACAGTACAGGTGTCCCCGCCTGAGCCTGCAGCACGGTGCCAGCCATTGCGTTGCCGACTAGGTCTTTCGCAAGGCTAGGTTTCTCTCTGATAAATTTCTCCACCTCCTCGGCAAACTCAAAGTCGTTAGGGAACAAACCCTGGCAGAGCCACTGCTCACGGAGGGTGAGGTATCTCTCCATCCTTGCCGAGTAGATTTCGTGCGACGGCCGCACACATGTGGAGGTTGCATAGCTCATCTCGGGCTTTCGCTTGAGTGATGTCTGCGTGTCGATGAAAATGTCAATATCGGCACGCAGCGCAGCCTCCTCTTTCGCCTTTTCCACTACTTGAGCTCCAAGTGCTGACCTTGGACTTTCCTTGGGCAGGCTCGCATCGAAGACTTGCTCTGCTAAAGGGACGTCCGATGCCAAGTCTGCGAGGGTCTGTCCCATGGCCGACTGGAGGTTGAAGGGTTCGCGGCCTGACTGGACGTCTCCTAGTGCGTAGACCCGGTTCCTGCGCTGCGGCAACAAATAGCCTTGCGCGTCCAGCTTCTTGAATTGGAAGGTGTAGCCTAGCGATGCCATGTCGCTCTCCATGACCTGCATGCACTGCACTGTACTGCGCTGTACAGCACTATACCGTACTGTACTGGGAATATCTGTGCTGTTATGTGTTGTTCCTACAGTACAGTCCAATACATTACAGTACAGTACAGTACTGTGCAATACAGTACTCGGCGACCCCATGGCCAACAGCATATGCTAACTGCAGTCCGCCTGTCCATTTCTGCCACATGTACAACAAGGAAACCCTGCGCTAAAGTCATGTTCCCCGACCGGCCTGGACCAAAGGAGTCTTTCTCTTGCCGTTCTTCTGCACCGGCGAATCCAAAATGCCTACGACTTGCTCAAAGAAGAGAAGGGCTGGAGCCAACTCTTTGCTCGCTTGCAGGACACCATTCTGGTACGTGCTCCCAGAACAGCCCTTGCCTTTCTGGTAGCCTGCATGTGCACAGACAAAAACAGATTGCCATGCGATACATCACAGTGCAGCGCTGCACTGTACATACAGTACTGTACAGTACAGTGTAGTGATGTAGGTTGCGGTACAAGTATGCGGAACACTACAGTACTGTACTGTACTGCGTTTCGACCTGTACTGTACAGTACAGTGTGGCCGTCCAGCAAAGCACTAACGTTATGCCGAGCAACAATCCTGGTAGTCTGTCCGCGAGTTGTTCATCCTTGAAATGGACTTGCAGCTGGAGCCGACCACAAGAACGTCGACGTCAGGCGCCTCGTGTACTCGCCGGCACGTGTGGCAGAATGCAGTCTTGCCCTTGGCGAACATGTCCACCGTTTCGAAAAGGCAGAAGGTGGGCTTGTGTGCGCGCATCAGAAAATCGCGCTTGCCTTTATCCAGCTCCACTGCCAGCACATGTTTGACGCTGATGGAGACCTGAGCGTCAAACGATCACACGATACAGCGCAGGAAAGTATACAGTACCATGCTGTACTGTACGGTATACAGGTACAGTACCGTACTGTACTACACTGTATTGTACAATGCAGCACGGTCTCAAACAAGGGAACCGCCCGGGTAACCGCACTTCCCGACGCAGCTGTGCAGTAGGGACACGGTACAGTCACAGTACTGTACAGTACAGTGTTCATGGCAGCTTGTAGGAGGAACCCACCCCACCCAGGTATACACGGAGTCACGGAACGAAGGCGGCTGGCCCGGAATATATGCTAACTGCAGTTCTCTGCAGGGTCTTGACAACAGAAATTATACAGGAAGGGTTGCCATCCACGTTGCCCGCCAGCCGCACATAGTACGGCACTGTACGGTACTGCAGAATGCGTGGACTACTGTACTGCACTGCACTGTACAGTACTGTACGGTACAGTACTGCATAGTACACTACTGTACTGTGCGCTAAGGTGGCCTGGTGTTGCTCGGCCAGGAACTGCAGCGTGTGCTTGAACACGTTCGTGCACACATCTGTCCCTGAGCAAGTGCTGCCCAGCTTGATTTCGCAGCCATTCAGCCCTTTGACGTTAGCGCTCAGCTTCCCTCGATCTGCCTCCGACAGACGCTGCAAAAAGTAGCGAGCTGTGTCCCGGAGGCTGAGAGCGGGGATCTCTGCCTTCGGAGTGGCTTCCTCCTCCACGACATCGGATTCCACGGCCACCGTCCTCCTGCAGCCGTGGCCGCCCCGAAGTCGTATATTTGTCGACGGGGCTCGGAGGTTGCTGAGCCGACAGCTGTAGACGGCCAGGTGTTGGTGCAACCTGGCTTTCCACGCCGTCTGTTCGGGTGCCGTGGCCTGCTTGTAGGCAGCAGCCTTGGTGAGCTCCCAGGTGGTCGTCAGCCGCCTGTGCTGCACAAGCGAGGCCTGGATAGCCACCTTGTTATCCGTCTTGGTCTGCACCAGAAGCATCTCACCACCAGCAGTGTATCTGCTGGTGGTGAGGAGCTCGAAGCTCTTCAGCTTCTGATTGGCTGCCTCCCGCACTCTGTCCATGAGGGTGCGGGACAGAGTGGCCACGGCATACTTCTTGGGAGCGGACGCCGAAGTGGTGCTTTGAGACTGGTCACCTTCCTCGTTCGTCTCCTCACCCTTCTTGTCTTCCTTCTTGTTCTTGGCTCCCTCCGCTGGCCTGTACTTGACAGAGCCGATGGCCCCGTGTTTGCGATAAAAGGCAAGAGGCTTTGGGAGCTTACGAGGGTTGGACACGGGGTTGGCCCACGTCTTCTCTCCGTACATTGGCACGTTGCTCTGCACGCAGTGGTCAGCTTTCCTGGCTTTCCATAACTTCGGGTCAGAGATGCGGAAGGGCTTGCCCACATCCACGGTGCCGTAGACTCGGTCCTTGAGACACACCCAGGTGCGGCCAGGCCGTAGTTGCCGGTTGCGGATCTCCAACGTTTTCTCTCCCTGGAAGATGCTCTGAAGGATCTCCATTTTGCCAATGGAAAGCATGGTCTCCATGTTGGCAGGTCTCGACTCCTTGGGACAGACCAGAAGTGCACTCCTATTGTACTGTAAAGTATATTACAGTAATGTGCTGCACTGTACTATGGCATATACGTATATGACCTGTGTTCAGCAGGGCCGACTGCTTTACACAGTACTGTATGTACTGTACTGAACTGTACTGTACTGTACTGCAAACACAGAACTCCCCATTGCCCTCCTCATCTGGCTCCACTTCCGGATCGACTTCGTGCACCTCCTCCTCCTCTGCTTGTTCACCTTCGTCATCTTCCTGCTCCTCCTCCTCCTCCTCCTCCTTCTCATCCTCCTCCTCCTCCTCCTCCTCCTCCTTCTCCTGCTCCTCCTCATCCTCCTCCTCCTCCTCCTCCTCTCCTTCGCCCTCATCATCTTCCTCCTGTTCAGCATCAACTTCCTGCTCCTTCTCCTCGCCCTCGCCTTTTTCATCTGCCTCCGCTTCCTCACTGAGTTCCTGCTCCTGCTCCTTCCCTCCCTGACTCTTTTCTTGCAGCCCCTGGTTGTTTTCCTGCCGCTGCTCCTCTTCCTGCTGCCCGTTGTTGCTTTCCTGATGCTCCTCCCCTCCCTCGCCCTTGTCCTCTTCCTCCAGTTCCTCAACTTCCCTCTGCTCATCATGCAACTGCTTGTCAGCCTGCTCTTGCTGCTGTTCAAGCCCCTGATGACTGGTCTCACCTGCCTCATCCTTATTCTTGTCTGGGATGTCCACCTGCTGATTCTGCCTCTGCTGCGGGAGCTCGTTCTTGGCCTCACCTTTGGTCTCAGTGTCCTCCTCCTTTTTCTCTGCATTCTCATCCTGGCGATTCTCCGTCAGTAGCTTCGGGGTCTCCGCAGGCATCGGCGGCTCCTCGCCCTGTTCCGGGGACTCGCTGTTGGCCGTTCCCTCCTTTATCTGCTCCCCTCTCTGCTCCTGGGACTCGGCCTGTTTGTCCTTCTGCTCCTCCGTGATCTGCGGGGCCATCGTCTCAACTTCATCCCCCTGCAAAACGTTCTCCTGATTCTGCTCCTCAGGCTTGTCGTTCATCGGTTCCATCTGCTGGCCAGGAAACCGATCATTGTACATTTCACAAACAGGGGCGGGCTTCACTGTAGGCGGCACGGGGATCACCATTCCGATCTGCTCATCGCCTTCGGAATACGGGAGAAGAAGATCAAAGTGGCTGCATCGTCTGCCGTCCTCGCCTGTGAGACAGCGGAAGTACACATGGACGTCATAGGTGTCGTCGGTACAATCCCCATAGATGGCATCCTCGTTGATGCCGACAACCCACTGCAGCACCTCCAGATAACAGCGGATACTGTACTGTACAGTACACCACTGCGCAGAACTGCGCTGAAGGAAAGTCTTTGGGCATTGTGACTTATGCAAATGCTTCCCCCCTGTGTCTGGTCAGATCCACAAACATGCGTAACGACTTCAATTCTCGAATGTGCTGTACGTACAGTACTGTACTGTGCCCCTCATGCCCCCATGCCTGCTCAGCAGGTGCTAACTGCGCAGTTTCCCTATGAGCGCCTCTGCGTCCACGGTGCACCGTATCCGCAGCTCCAGCGAACGTGCAAGCCAGTGCAGCTCTTGCACGTCCACAGGCATCTGCTGGGCGGCGTTGTGGGCGAGCCGCGCCAGCCACTCCGGAAATTCCAGGTCGGCTGTTGCCTCCAGCGCCAGGTTCCGGAGTGCGTAAGCCGCCCCTGCTTCCAGCCGCTGTTGCCGACTGTTCCTGGCGAAGCCCAACGACGTTCGGTCTATGCCTCGGGAAACAATGTGCTAGCACTGCAGGACAGTGCAATGCGTACCGTACTGTACAGTACTGTACTGCACAGACATGTGGCACAGAAAGGGCGGACGCTCCAATTGATATGCTAACTGCGGTTATTTGTCCGGTTTCGGAATTTGACACAGTACTGCGCAGTACAGTACAGTACTGTATTGTAATTACCACGCCGTACAGTACAGTACTGTAGTACAGTACAGTAGTACTGTACATTACTGTACAGTATGTACTGTAATGTATGCCGTGCCGCGCAGGTATCTGGCACAGTCGAGGCCGGCAATCAGGGCATGGTAGCAGCAAAGTCCATCAGGAGGCACGGGTATGATCTGGGCTTGGGTGCGTCTCTCAACCCGCTGCATCCCTGCTTCCGTGGTGGCTTGGATGGCCCTCAGTGCCAGTGCCCGTGCTTCGTCCTCGAACGTGACGCCCAGCTGTTCCAGTCTGGCTGCTGTGAAGCTGGTCCTACCCGCTCTCCGACCCACGTGGGAGTTCGGCTCCGCTCTACAGCACTGGAGACCGTTGTTGAATTGCACCTGCCATGAAATAGGCCCGGGGAAGGACATAAACAGCAGCTGCTCGGCGGACGGATTTGCCTGCCGCAGGATCTCCAGATCTTCGTGATGCTGCTGCGGCGACGCCCCTCCTTGCACCACCATGCCCACTGGTTTCACGTCGAGAGCCTTCCAGCGTTCCTGCAGCTCGGGTGTCTTCAGCACGTCCCGCAGGGGCGTCCCAGAACTCAAGATCAAGTCCCGGCAGACAAGATCGGAAGTGGCAGCCAGGAGGCCGCGAGGGTCGGTCGCAGAATGCAGATACCTCAGCATTCCCTTGTACACGCCAACCTCGGCGACACACAGCTCCGGCCCCATCTGCGACATGGGTGCTAGGAACTCCGCCGTAATGTCTTCGGCAGTTGCAAGCACGGCAGGCGTCTCAGTCTCAGCATCGGCTAGTTCCAGCACGGCTTGGCCCAGTTCTTGCGAGCTCGAATGCTTCAGCAGTGCCCGGATAGCTTTCTGCGACTCCCCTGCTGCTGAGCCTTGATTTTCCAGCTCCTTGAGCGACTTCTCCACCGCCCCGCTCTGCTCAGCAGCTTGCATACTCTGCAAGAAAGCACAGGCTGCAGCAGCGGATTTGTGCACCTGCGGCATTCAGATGAAATGAAACTCAATCTACAGTACTGTGCAGTATCATGTTGTACAGTACAGTACAGCACAGTGCGGTACTGTACAGTACAGTACCGCAAGTAGCAATGCAGAGCAGCACACAGCTTGCGCTACGGTACATGACTACTGTATACAGTACAGTACAGCGTTGTGCTCCACAGTACTTTACAGTAGTTGAGCACGGCGATGTCCAGTTCTGCAGAAGACGGGCCTTGAGCAGCATTCCCTTCTTCCCACTCCATTCGGCGTGGAAGCCGTCAGGACGGCTTCGCAAATTGAAGCCAGAAGGAACTTCATCTAGGTGGGCGAGTGTCTTGAGGGCAACCAGGCACAGCCGGTCTTCCACCTGCTGAATGCGGCCGTTCTGCAGCGACTCCACCAAGAGACAGCGTTTTGCTTCAATCGTAGCTGAAGAGGCAACGGACAAGTCCATGCTCTGCAGGAAGGCAAGTGCGTCTTTGGATGATTTCAACTCGAAATCGCAGAGAATTCTCTCTGCCTCTTCCTTCCAGGCGATCGCCACCGCATCCCTTGCCTCACCCCAATGCACCGCTTGAAATCTCCGGTAGGTGCTCTTGTCCAGGTTTGCCCGGGTCTGTTTCATGAATCGGTGGACACCCGGTGGCAGGGCGGGCAGTTTCGCATCGCCCTTCTCTGAAGCAAGTGGGGCCTCAGAGACAGCGTCGTCTTCGGCCGGCGGCCCAGCGCTGGTGGCAGGCTCCCCCGGAGCTTGCGCCACCTGCTGGCTGGCCCGCCTGGCTCGCGCCATCTCCTGCGCACTCACATTCTTCATCAGCATGTCCATCACGGAGGTCATGGCGGGCTTGGTGTTTTTTTGGCGAGGGCGTACAATAACTTGAGGCTTGATTAAGCTGCTACGGTCGGGCACAGGGACGCACAGCTGTCTTCGGTGAACTGTATACTGTGCTGTACTATACAGTACACTGCTGTATATACTGTACTGCAGTTGCGTGCAGTGCTGATCGCAATGGGTGGAAGTGCAGTGCATCACTGTACTGTACGCACAGTACTGTAACTGTACAGCACTTCGAGCTCCCGACGAGATGCTCCGCTGCCCGCAAAGGCCTCGCCAAGCACTTGCATCCCACAGTGCCCCGAGAATATATGCTAACTGCAGTCGGTTGTGCCATTTTGGCATAGAGCAGCAATACAAACCCCTCAGCCCCTCAACCCTAGACTCGGAGAGGTTGCACTCCAGGGTCCAAGCAAGCTGGAGGCCGAGCGAAGAGACCTGACCGTAGCTCCGCTGCCCGCAAAGGCCTCACCAAGCACTTGCCTCCCCCAATGCCCCGAGAACATATGCTAACTGCAGTCGTTTGTGCCATTTCGGCATAGAGCAGCAATGCAAACCCCTCAGCCCCTCAACCCTACAGTAAACTCGGAGAGGTTGCACTCCAGGGTCCAAGCAAGCTGGAGGCCGAGCGAAGAGACCTGACCGTGGCGAGAGGCCCGGGGTTCCCGGGAACGGGCTGGGGTTGCAGGGCAGTCTACAGTACTGTACAGTACTGTGCAGTGGCCCTGCTGCCGGAGCGGCTCCACTACTGGTAGCAAGAGTACTGTAGTGACCTGCTACATGGCCGATGTCTCCGTATGTCGTTTGCAGCACACGGCCGACTCAGGACATACCGCCTCCGGAGATGTCGATGCCGGCATGGATCTGTCAACGGCCTCACAGCCACATCAATCAGCAATGGGTCCGAGCATGCAAGCCAGCACCGTACGTGGAGACCAGCAGTGCTCCGGTATCCCTTTTCCCGCGAGCGAACCCCAATCGCGATCCGATGATCCATGTTGCCGTGGCCAAGATCATGTGCTTCCGTGGAGCTTCGTGTCTGCATCCTGCAGACGACCACCTTGTGGCACCGGCTCACCCTGCCTGACCGAACCTACAGGGGATCGGGGAGCAGCACGTCGAGCACGTGGAGATGGCGTCTTTGGGCCCACGGAGGACTGCAGCTGCACAGCATCGGCACGATCAACAGCATCGGCACGATCAGCAGAGGACTGCTGCTGCACGGCATCGGCACGATCAGCAGAAGATCCAGCCGCACGTGCGGGCCACCCAAACATGGCACTCCAGAGATCTGCTAGTGATGCCAAGGATCCTCTTGGGCGCTCGCTCTCCACTGTGTTGTCCTCGACGTCCTGGCATCCAGTTCGGCGGCGCCTTTTAAGATCCGGGACTGGCACATCGGGGCTCCCAGAGTGACTGCGACGGATGTGAGTAGCAGGAGTGACATGCTGCTCGTTCCCGGCCGGCTCAGACATTGCCGATCGTCAAATCGTGAGTGCGACCACCGTCGTCGAGGAGCCGTAAGTGCTACGGCAGAGAGACATGCCCAACTACGGTGCAGCAACACAGCATGAATATGCCCGAAGCAAGAGCCTGCCGAGGAGGCCCAAGGCCCAGGCCAATGACTCGTGTGTTGTCGGTGCCAGGTCATCCAAGGAAGCCTCGCAAGACACAGAGACATCATGTTGCCACAACAGGTGCCGCTGCATTCTCGGGCTCCGGGACCTACTGTAAAGCACTGCGAAGACTACCACAACGAAGAGGCCAGCAAACCTCAAGCCCGAGGTCCAGGCCAACGATGCACCCAAGGATGTGCCCACCCCCTGCTCCCCGTTAGTCAAGTACACAGCAACGACGGGGCCCAGCAGAGGAGGCAGCTGACGCCCAAGGTCCAGGCAGCCTCGATGATGCCGTCATTCGGAGCAGGAACCTGACCAAGGGCAAGCACCAAGCAGCATTTCGGACTAGGAAAACAGAAGTAAAGGAGGCATGCCAAGGACCAGGCACCCGAGACCCGCAGCACACGAAGTGCACAGAAACAGA